GAATAGGCAGCAGGCAGGCTCTTTTTCTCTGACTGGTTGCTTCTTGAATACTGTTAACACCCAGTAATTTAATTCTGACAAGTGCTACCCTCATCCTTAGGGTGGAAGTTAGAGTGTAACTGCAGTAGCGAGAAAACTTGCTGATATGTAGAAAACTTCTTGTTACTCTTTTGTCTTTTCTCTCTTCCATTATGAACCAAGAAGTTATTTTAAAAGTGTGCAGGTTCCCAGCTTTTATGCAAAGGTATCCTTTGACAGATCCTGTCACAGTTCAGAACTATCTCAAGTTCCCACAGCAGCAATCTACACCAAACTTGTCTCCTCATATAATTGATTGTAGTAGTGAGAAACGTGTGAATGTGAAACAGCAGACATTGGAATAGATTTTTTTATATATATAAAAGAGGCCAAGTGCTCACGTGAAAGAGAAATAATTATATTTTTTCATCTACTATTAAAAATATATGACAACTAAAAGTTGATAGTAATCTCTCTACACAGGAGTCCAAATTTCATAACTGTAGTCTGTATTTTATTCATTGTTGCCCATGCAACAATGTAACACTACATAAGTAGTGTTCTCACAAGTAAAGTCACTCCATAGGTTCATTCAAGAACACAAAATATAGAATCGTATGGTTAAAATATGCATAAAATCATTTTGGGGCAAAGTTAAATTGTATAGATAATTTCACTGTGCTTCTCTATGCCTTAATATTTTTTAAATTTTTAAGCACTCTTTTGAATAGTTTAGTTTGTGGATGATTGTAATATATTCCAATAAGAGACTACAGAGAGAGCTAATAGATTTTTTTTATTTTTTTTTAAATAAATTTTTCATATTGTTTGATACAGGCTCTGATATTTAAATCTTCTGGAGTAAAGATTTTCTTTTTCAGGATTTTTTTTTTTTACTTTCTGTACTTCCACTTAGAACACAGACAATTGCAGACATTTGGGTTAGTTTCTTTTTCCTCCAGAGCTTTTTTTGTTTTGTTTATCTCTACCCATTATTTCTTCACTTGAAAATGTTTTTACTCCTGTGAGCTTCTGTAACAACAAGCCTAGAGCCTGGATGTAGAACACTTAACCTCTGATTCTGACCTTTCACACACAGGATGAAATTCTTGTAAGAATTCTTTCCTAACTGGAATTGTCAGTCAGGTAGAGTTATAACTTATGCTGAAAAAAAAATTTAAAAAAATAAAAAAAACAGTCTACATTTTTTTCTTGACTAAAGCAGGCTGCTGTGTTTATCTCAGTGGGATTTAATACCACTGAGATTGCAAGTCTTAAAATTTGTGCACCACATACCAAGAGACCACTTAGGGAATTATTTTCTTTTTAAAAAATTAAAAGCTATATCTAAAATGTAATCAAAGGATGGATCCATTTAAGAATTGTAAGGTCTTGCTCTTACTGGACATACATGATAAACATGGAAGCTATTTGCAATCAGACAAATGGTTATATGTCTGCTACTATAATAATACAGTTTAAACATCCCTGTATTGATTGTATAGCCTGTTCACTAAATAAAATATGGGGGTTTGTGGCTGCGTCTGGGAAGGGAATACTTCTTTCTCCTCAGCTGTAGGGAATAGAATCCCTGTAAATAAAACAGAACAAGTTTTATTCTGTGAGAAAGGTCAGGGTTCAGATTTTGTGCCTGAGGCTCTTTCTTCTAAGCCAAGGTGACCTCACCCAGACTACATATAGGAGAAAATTTCCAGCCTTTCCTGAAGCCAGTAATTTATCTTTGTGCAGGCAGCCTGCTGTCCAGCACATGCCTGAACTGTACTTCCCCACAGTTAAGAACACCCACAACCACAGGCACGTGGCTTGGGATGAATGCTCTGACTTTTCTAGGTTTTCCAACAGGTATTATTGATCAGACTGTGAATGGACCCCACCCTTTTAACAAAGCACAGCTGCTAGTAGCAGAGCACTGGTTCATGTTAATGTTTATTCAACATCTGAGGAAAAAAAAAAGATAATAAGCTTCAAAAAGATTCACACAGCAGGGAGGAAGCCTTGAGTAATGTTGCTGTGATTTCCTCTGCAATGGAAGGATTTTCTCCTTTAGGGAAATTTGGTAGTACATCACAGAGGATTAAGACACAGCCTTTACTAAAGTCCATTTCTAAAATTTGCTTCCTAGTATGATGTACTAGACTATAATATGCTATGAAAAAACACTGTTGAAATAATCCTCAACACTGATTTCCTTTGGTAACTGAGAATAAGGCAGTGCAAGATAGCTGCTGCTGCCAAATGAAAAATATTGCTCAGAAATACGGCCTCTTTTAAAGGAATATTTAGGGTCTTGGCACTGACATTATCATCCATGGCTGAGAAAAGAGCACCATACTTTCCAAATGCAGTGAACAGACCCTTCAGATAAGGATCACTGGGTAACAGCAGGATAAGGAATCACAAAACACTGCAGGTTTCAAACCAAGAGATGTCTTGGGAAGCATTTGAAAGATCATTTCTCTGTCAAAGAGAAGCTTATTATTTTCTCCACAATGTTATTCCATCTTTAAAGTTAATATATATTAGCTTTACTTTTAGGTGAGACATTTAAATTGTTTTAGAAGAACTTTTCCCAAACAAAATTACTACTATTCTGAAAAGAGTACATAATTCCAAATAGACAATAGGGTGGAATGTCACATTTTCTTACTCCCTTTGAAATATATTTGAGTCCTTGAAAAATTTAAGAGTTTCAAAGAGCCAAAACCCATATCTGTTTGGTGGATATGTCACAGCTTTGCTTGCAACTAATGAGAACAGAGATGGAGATTATTATAAACAGCCACACTGAGAAGTTTAAACACAGTTTGAACATTACCGACATGACTCTCTGACTCATTTTATAATGTAGTGCCCAAGGCTGTTTAATTAAATTCTCAAGTGGCAGTAGTAGTGTTCTCCAATGATATCAAAATAATTGCTGCCAATCTAAATTAGTTTAAAATCTGAGAGTCAATCAAAAAATCTTGTCAGGGAGGTCAAGACTGAAAAATGCAATTTTGTTTGCAAGATACATCACAGTTCTGAATCTTTCCTTAAAGCAAATATATACTTTTCTTTCTTAATTGGCTATGTGAATAGTATTTTTACCTTTTTGTTTGTTTGTTGAGGGTGGAGGGAGGTGATAGTGGTGTTTTGAACATATGTAGGTTAAGATTCCCAGGAGCAACTGATAAGAAAAGTAGGCAACCAAGGTTGCATCATATAAATATAGGAAACAACAGACACAAAAAGACATGGACTGGTGTTTTACCAATTAGAAAAATGTAACATTTAAAGACAGATAAACTTTGAAAAAGGGATAGTCTTAAAGATAACCAGGAAAGGCTAAATTAAAACATAAAATAGTATTACAACTTTTGCTTACTCAGTAGACAAAAAAAAATCTACATTATCCATATGCCAGCTGAATGCTTATTTCCAGCCTACAAGGTGTAAAATTAGCACCTCCTTCAATTTTGTACAATATCTTTTGTATATTTGTATATATGCTGTGTTACAAATGTGTTTGGTTTAAAATCTACTTTTCTGCTGGTTCCCATAGACAAGACTTAGCCTGTCCACCAGCTAGAGACTTGAGAAACTCACCAGCACTTTGAATATCAATCAACAATTGAATGAGTTTTGAAAATCAGCATTTTTGATTTTTCACCTACAGTGGCAATTAGGTGCTTCATCCATCTACTGTTGGAGGTCTTGTTCCTTATACTTATCCATTAATATGTACTAAAGTCCTTTTTAATATTACAATTTAATTTCACAATCAATCACATGCTGTGAATAGATCATCTATGTTTAAATATGTATATGGATATATTTCTTCTCCAAGAGGCACTAAATGCTAATGTTACTTTGACAACCATTATATAAGGAGCACTAAATATCTCTGGCCCTTAAGGTGACTGCAAAAAGAAAGTCTTATTTTGAATCACAGTCTCTCTTTTTTCCCCCAGCCTTTGTTCCTTTTTTCAGTGTTATTTTCAGGAATAATATTTACTCTTCCCCACAATCTAACAACATGTTGTGATCTCTGCATAATAGTATGATAAAGTGCATTGCAGATTCTGATTTATTTAAGAAAACTCAAGATCCCTTTCGTGAGCTATTGCTGTGACTTTGCTACTCCTGTTCTGCCTTAAAATTACTCAAGAAAGATTTTGTGGTCCATTATGCTAAATCAATAGCTTTTAAAATGTGAGTTAACAATCCACACACTGTATTTTCTTCTCCAAGCAGGACCAGTATATCCAAATATCCCATCATAGACCTCCTCAGATTTGGATTCCCACAGATTTCAATATTATTCATTATCTGTTTTAAACTGCTTAGTAGAACTGTTCTTGCCATGCTCAGCCTGAGAGAATAATACACTTTCATACTGTGTAAAACCTTTCTCTATAATAGCTGAAAATATTGTTTTCTTGTGAGGAATATGAAGAATTTTAGGTTGATTGCTAGTGAAATGCAGAAAATACGCACATATAGCCATTTGCTTTTTAGGGGGCTGGAGTCAGGGGATTAAGCATCTGTGAAATCAATTGCATGCTTGGTATCTCTACAATGTATCATTCATTGCCCTTGATTCTTCTGTTTCATTAGATTTCAGGATTTTTGACCTCATAATAGGGATATGAAGCATTTCATCAGCAGTAGGAAAAAGATTTAGTATCTGCATTATGTTGAATTCACTCTCTGAATTGATTCAAGTTACAATAATTTCAACATAGTCAAATCGAAGTACTTTAAAATTCTCCCAAAACCTGTCATCGGGGGAAGGGGTGAGGGGGCAGGAAGGAGAGTGGTGTAGGAGAGTGAGAGGGGGAGGAAAGTAAAATGTGAACATCCAAAGAAAATTTTCTGAATGTGTTCTGAGTCAGAATCCAACACCTAAATCCAAATTCTACATCAAACAGCTGTATATAACTTTCTTCAGCCAAGTATTGGTGCTGAGTAGAAAAGTTTACCTGGATCCTTGTTAGCAGGAACTTAATTATTATTGTTTTTCTCTTCAGGGTTCATCTCAAAATGGAAGCTTCTGCTTGAAATAAAGAAATGAAGAAATCACATATGTGAGTCTGAGGCTGCTTACCGTAAATAATCCAAATTCATATCCTTATATAAATTCTATCTCTCCAGCAAAATACAGGAAAATTATTTCTATTTAGTAGAAAAATATAATTAAAACATATTTAAATTTTAAGCATAATAACACTTTCATATCCCTATATCTTTGAAAATCTTAAAAATTAGTAAATCAATAATGGATAATGAGTATATATTTAGGATTTTGAATCTGCAATATATCCTATGCAGGTAGCTAAACACCAGGCCATTGAAGTTTATTCTTTATTTAAAAAATAAGCTTTTATACAAACTTTTAGTTGTCATCCATATTTTAAAAGAAATATAGAATAACTCCCTCTTTCATATAACGTAGTAACATCTGTGTGACCTTTCTTTCTGGGTTACATTATATAATGCATTTTAAAATATTATTTTCCAGCTAAATGGAATAACACCAGATATATAGGGTACTAAACTGTTTAGAGAATTCCTTACTACCCCTTAGAGGATGAGAAAGCAGGTAGTTGGCAATTCTGGTCCCTTTATAATTCTGCTTTATTCCACAGTATTACTGCACTAGACTTTCATTTTTTTACCTCACTGTTACCAACTTCTCCATTCTTTAAAAAGAAGAATGTGCAATGTGTACCTGTGTTATTCTCAATTTGCACAGTAATTTACTGTGTCCCTGACATGTATTCACTTCCTGTTATGGATGCATTTGTTTAGTTTCTAGGAAATAGTTTTCATTTCTTTTAGTCTTCTACAATGATGACAGTATTGTTTTTGCTTTTAAAGCTATCTTGAGTCAAGCTTCTGTTTTTTAGCTCTTTTCTTACTTGTAAGTCACCTGTTTATGGAAGAAAGGATAATACAGTATGAATGCTTTGAATTGTTAGGGAGCAATGCAGTGAAACAAAGGATTACATTTCAAAGTCATGTTCACTTTTACATTTTTCTATGCAGTATTTCACTATCTTTATATTTATATAGCAATCAGTTGATTGAACTCCCCTAGGTTTTCTACTGCAACTCAAGGACTTTGAAAATCAGAGACACATGAGATGATTCTTCTCATCTGACTATATACACATGAAACCTAGGGAGCTTAGAGAAATACTTTAAACTGTGCAAATCACTCTAGGTTTTCCATTTAATCTTCTGAGAAGGAAAAGGCTTCTGTGCAGAAGTGTCATCCTGGACATTTATTTTTGGGATGAAAACAAAATAAACCCATTCTAGAGGTATGTTTTTTCTCTCCATGCCACGAAGACAATCTGGCATCTCTAGCTCAAAAGCAAATGTCTAACAGGGTATCTAAAGTAACTGAATTACCTGTCAAGTTATTAAAGCTTTATGCCTGTGGTTTTCAATTCTTTGGCTTATTTTTTTTAAGCTTTAGTTTAATTTTAGATAAGATGTTTGTAGCTGCAGTTGATACATAGTATGTGCTTCTAAGGGTTCCATATGTAGCCTTTGAGACTAAAACTGTTTAAAAATGTCAGAACATCTTAATTAACAGTTTCATTTTTAAAATCCTCTTCAGAAGAAAAAAAAATTGAAAGATTGGTATATTTCTCTTCTTGTTTTCAATTAATTACTTAATCTGTCATTAAAAAAATTATTTTTTGATGTACAGTTTTCTTTGGTTCTAATTGGCAATTTTAATATGTTCTTTAGAAGCATGAAATGCATAAAATAATAACACATATAACTTGATAAAAACATAATCTGATTGAAGGATGATTAGTGAAGATCCAGTTGTTGATCTGTCTAAAAAGTACTTTCTGTACACCCACGTATTTGATGCACACCCTTGTAATCCTTGTACCAAGGAATCAGAATGTTAAGCACAAGAATTTAGGTGACTGATACCAGTCTAGCTGTAGATCTTCATTAATTTATCCTAGATACCCTTAATCAATTATTCTATTTGGACCTCATCACCTCTCCACTATCCTTTGCAATAGGATGGCATGGTGAAATTATGTAAACCGTTTATTTTGCTTGCTGTCTTTTCCTGGTTTTCCTGAAATTTCTGAAGGAGAAATTTAATCCCAGTCAGAATGGCCTTTTCATAAAAAAAAAAAATAAAAAAATAAAAAATATAAAATCAGGATATGTCTTTAAAGCAGTTTTCTTTGCGTTTCAGAACTGTGTCAAGAGAAACAAGGTCAAGTGGATGGTATATAACAGAAGTAACAAATTATTGAGTTATGGGAGAAAGTGAGGTGGATGAAAAAAAGAAGGGACCAAAAAATAATACAAAATTTAAGGCTAATAATGGCTACCATATTAATCAGTTAACTATAGATTAGAACACAAATAAAATTATTAGCCAATGAATAAATGTTTGTGTATCTTGATTAAGATGTTTCATTACTATGTATAATTAATTGGTTTTTTCTTATATGAGATTTCTTTTTTGTGCCATAAGGATTCAGACTTACACATTGCCTGTCATTTTTTTCAGTGTGTTGCTTGGAGAGAATAATAATTCTCTTGTGTTTAAGAACTAGTTCATTTTAGGGTGTTTTTTAAAGGGAAGAAATATTCAGTGAGACTTACGAGAAATACTGAATGTGTGGGCAGCAAATTAGGAATGAAAGACCTAAAATTGGCTCTTTAATCAACAAACTAAGACATTTTAAGATAAAAGTGATATCTTCTGACTCACTGTCTGACTGGTGATATTCAAACTCATTATTCAACAAAGAAAGTACAAAGAACATGAATATCTAAGGTGTTTTAATTTATATGTCATAAATAATTTCAACAAGTCCTTGAGTTGTTTATTTTTTTAGTCATAATACTTTCATCTATGTCCATTAAATCTATAAGAAAGCAAGAACTCACTATACTTGCTTGAGTAGTTTCACTGACTTCATGACTTCTAGTATAAGGAAATTGAAAAACTCAGCAAACTTAAGGGCTAAACTCTTTATTTAGGCAATTTGCCAGAGATTACTAATTTATATCATGTCCACAGGAAACAGGGTGGAAATGTAAGTAAAGGAATAGCAGAGTGTAGTGGTTTTAAGGCAGTAACAAAAAATTACTTATTTCTTGCTGTGAGATATGGATTAGAACAAGAGCAAAACAGGCTTGAAACTTAAAAGGAAATAAAGAAAGTTTATTAACAAAACTATAAGAACACCAGAATAAACTTCCAGAAAACCCTTTTATCCCTCACTACCCACCATTTTTCCTTGTTCACATGACAACATAGAGACAAAAACTTTGGAACTTTGGTGGTTAAAACAGTCCCAATTCCTGCTAGAGTCTTTTCATCAGTCTTTGTAGAGAAACAGAAGTCTTCTGTTAATCTATGGAGTTTCTCATGAGAAAACTATTTTTTGTTATAGTTTTCTATTTCTCTGATGCCAGCTGCCCGGAAATCCTGCCATCAGTTCTCTCCTCCCATTTCACATCACTCTGAGGTGCGTTATGGGCCATGAGTCGAGGGATGTCATTTTTAAGGATGAGTTATTCAAAGGCAAAAGTTCTTTTCATCTGTCTCTGTGAGCTTCGCTGGACAACAGTTTTCTCATTGCCCTCATGGCTTCAAATCTTCACTTCACTCTATTCCAGCAACTCACTGTATCACAATTAATCTACCTTTTGATCAAAATCCACACTTTGAACACTCCATTCCTCCCACTATACTCTGTCATTAATTAAATGAGTTTTTTTTCAGAACATTATTGTCCATCTCCATAGCTTTAACAGAAAAATATTTCAGCTTATAAAGCATCTCCTTATTCTCTCTTCCCCATCTAAAACTTAACTCTTTTCTTCACTGTCGTCTTCATGTTGATTGTCTCTCTCTCTCTCTGTCTCTTGGGGGAAAAAAAAGGAGTAATCTGTACGTTTTATCCAGGTAGTAAAAGAGTTAAAGTCTTGGAAAAGCTGCAGATGTTCATAATGTCAGGTTTCAATCCAGCAGCAGGAACTACAGATTAACCAGGCTGGCCGGCTCCGTTTCTCTCCCCCCCCACCCTCTGCGGCCTTGTCCGGCCTGGAGTGGGGGGAGGAGGCCAAGACAGAGCCTTCTTACCTTGTCAGAAGCTGGAAACACAAAGAGAACAAGAGAGCCCCGGCTTTACATCTTAAGTGGTGTTCACAAGTTGATCTCACTTCTCAATGGTCAAAACTGCTGTCAATTCTTAGAAATGACCGATAATTGGTCAGGAGAAAAGACTCCCATCAGCCACCAGCAGCTTCAACTTCCTCAGCTCTCGAAACTATCTTAAAGGTAAAGCCATCCCATGACACAGAGGTAAAAATTTTAAATACTATGATATAAGTGAACACCTGCCTGTAAATTAAAAGTGTTTAAAGATTCAGATTCAATTTTCCTCTTCTTTTATGAAAAAATGTTTCTTTATGCCTGAGTATAAAGTTGAGAAAATAAGAGCAGTTCTATATTACTTTACAACTGCAAATGTGTGTGTATATAAATATACAGTGAAAAACAAAGAAAAAAACTTGATTACTGTGACAAGAGTGCTTAGAAAACAGACAAACCAGATTGCCTTTAGACTTCAAAAACTTTGTCTACTAAATTCATTCATTAACAGCACGCTTCATGACAGTGCTTACTTATTGCACATTAACAATCAATATTTTTTTAAAGTTTATTACATTGTCTTCAAAAAACACAAACTCAACACAAAGTGCATAACGTGTCTTCAATAGCTTAATTCTGAATTACCTGTGTGAGTGCGACTCCATACTGAGATGCCTCTGCTGGATGTGGTTTGTTGTCATCTTTGGTGAGAATAAGGTGACCAGCCTTGAGAGCTATTGACAGGATGAGTCAGATGTGTATTGTTTTATCTTGTTTCTTCTGCAGTTTTCCTCACTTGTGCCTGCTGTCTTCATAGTATTTGCTGCTACTGTTCCCCATCCTACCCTCAGGAAGGAAATCATCTCCTCCCAATGCTGCTTTGAGGGTGAAGGATATCTTTCAAGTTATCATGGTAAACTTGATTGGAAGTCCTGTGGCTTTGCAGACCCTTGTGATTATATTGTCCTCTGCAACTTTATCTTACTTGGATGCCTCTTATATGCAACTTCTCTTTTCCCCTTTGGTGGTCACAACATTTTCATATTAGGTAAATTGCTGAATTGTCTGGCTCACAGTGTTATGTCCTGACAATGCTACAAAAATGCTTACATTCTGTTCTTGCTTACATTGTTTCAGTGTGCTTATATTCAAGTTAAAATTAATTGTATGATGATCAACACATGTATAATTCCTAGATGTCACAGTCTTCTATTTTGGTTCCATGTAGCTGTAAAACACTCTATGCCTGTTGTGGAACATACGGGCTTCTCAAACAAAAGAGCACCCTCTGCATTCTAGCTATCCAAGCTGCATAAAGCTTTTCTGGAGAATGAGTTCCAGACAGTATCTCTCTAAACAGGGTTGTTAGAAATATCCAGCTTCTGGTCTTCCATGTTTAGCAAGAACTATTGTCTTACTGGTTTAGAACACAGGTATCTGATGTAAGCATCCCCCTCCCCAAATTATTATAATTCTGAAATCAAAGGGCTCTCAGGCAGAGATCTGGGGATAGGAATAACAGTTCTTTCTTAGTGTGTATGACAAGGCAAACAAACAACAATAACTACAGCATTAACAACAAAACAGAACCAGGGACCCCGTGACAGCTTTCTCGGCTGAGACGGGATGGAGGAGAGGCTTTGTTTCACAAACCCCTCGGGCAGTCCTGGTGCTCCTGCAGGGCTCTGAGGAACAGTCAGCTGGAACAGCAGGGATGAGCTGAGATCCCAGGCTGGTGGATGAGGTGTATCAGCAGCTCTGCGGTGGTGCCTGGCACTGCCACACGTCCCGGCAGGACAGGGGTGCGAGGCCACCATCAAAGAGGGAAGAAGGAGAAGAAGCAGCAGCTCCATCTGGGTGATGACGAAATTCCCTTCTCTCCACAGCAACAGCTCTGAGAGAGCGTGTCCTGCTCTCCAGCCCAAGAAATCAGCCAATTCCAGCTGCCCCTAGCTCTCACCTTCTCCTGTTCCCCTTCCCCCGAGCCCAGCCAAACACCCTGTGTTTCTCAGGCACCCAACAAGTACGATCAGTCAGGTTTTCCCCACAACTAATGAGCAAAAAATTCCATAGGTGAGAAGGAACAAAAGGAAGGACACCCAACCCCCAACAACTATTTATACCTACTTCTTCTTTACAAAAATTGTTTCTAGGATTTCATCTAGACCATAGTGTAAATTTGGTGGAACAAACATACTGATCAGATGTGTACAGTTCAGATGTGCTGAGGACTTTTGTGCCTTTTTTTCTTGCCACAAAACCTTAAATCTTGCTGGGTTGCTAAAATAAATCATCTTTGTCTATGCTATTGGGAACTGCCTCCTGTTCCTCCTAAATAAAAAGCTGATTATAACATTAGGGACACTTCAGCATTGAAAGCCACGGAGATTAATGTCTGCACTGAAAAGCCTTGGCTAAGAAAAGGTAAGTGCTGAATGAAAGAGATGTGGCTGTTTGCAAAGAGAAAGAGATTTAAATGGAACTCAGAAGAACTGGAAGTACACATTAACTGTGATGGAATAGAATACTACTGACAATTTTTCTTTTAGTTCTTTCGGCACACAAAATCCATAAATCCTAATCAGAAAGCCACATTTTATAGGTTGCCTATCCACAATAAGTAGGTGCAAAGTGGCAACATCAGCTAAACTCTTTCCTTTATAATTTAATGGAAAAATACATGGAATTTCATCCTGTAAGTCATCAGTAGAACCTTTTATATAACCAAGTTTTGTCCATATTATCAATTGTAACTACATCACGTATTTGTCTTTTTTTTTTTTTTTTCTCATTTAATAAAGAACTGCAGAATTCTTCTGATTTCTCCAAACATGCTGGAGAATTATTTAAGTGTTTGCAATCAGTGTTATGTTTTTGGTATCTGATGACCACTTACATCTAGTTGTTTCCACTTCTATCTTCTTTGTCTTATTTAGGTGGAAAATAAATAATCAAAAGTGCATGAAAAATGCTGCATCCACAATAGAAAGCAATTTTGCAGCATAGGACAGGTTTTCTATCTCAAAATACCACTGGTAAAGTGCCTACATTGACAATATATGAACTATTTTGTAAACAATATGGCTTTTATTTCCTCCAGGTTAGTTTTACTCAGTTCCACTGGAGAAATGTCCCCACAATGTTGTTTATATGAAGATCTCCAAAAGAAAAAATCATTGGTTCAAGCACTTAAATCTGCCCCAGCACTGGAAGTGCATCTGAGGCCAATCTGAGACCAGAGCTCCTGTTGCGGTTAACTACAAAAATAATCAAATACTTGTTAATGAATATCCCTTTCAAACTGAATCAATGCTCAGGGATAGCCAGAGGATTCACTCTGAAACCTCCTTACTGCTCTTAGCAAGCACACTAAAGTGGACACAGACATTTAACAGACATCTGCCCTTTTATTTTAAAAACTTTTGTCTACAAATGTGAGCTAGTGAACTTAGAAATATAACAAACCATGTTAACACATATTAAAAAAGCCCAACCATTCCTCCAAACACACATTATTTATAGGAATAATATTCTTAAGGAACAAAGGGATGTGAAAGTGTTTGAAGAAAAAAAAAAGTGCAATTGAAACAAATATTTACAAATAATCTTTTTTCAACTTTCCATCAGCTTTCTTTTTGTACTTAATATTTTTTGGTTCAGTTTTCAGTTGTTTGTTTGGTTTTTTTTTTTAATAAGTGTAATGTTATTGCTTTTGACATACAAATAGCTAATTTAACTTCTGATAGTTTAAAGCAACTTCACAGCTTTCTTTTTTATTTTTTTTTTTTATTTTTTGGTAGTTTCTTTTATCTTGGAAATTAATTGGGCTATCTTAAGACTCCTGCTTAACTTTGTCTGCTTTGACCTATGATGATTAGTACATATATCAGTCACTCAGTCAAATGTTGTAACTCTGCCCTGAAAGATTAAGTGAATTTTCACTGTAGAATACATTTCTCTTCAACTAGAGACAGGTTTTATTGTGCTAAAGACACAGATGCACATTTCATTATGCAGTTTCTCAATACTACTAATGAAATGACATTAGAAAGGCATCAATTACTTAAATATAGCACAGAACATACAGAGTACATCTACAACAGAATTAATTTTGTCCCTACTAAATTGCTTTTTGGATCTGAATTAGCTTTTTATATAAGTAGCAATACAGTAGAATTATTACAATGATAATCTATAAATAATAAATCATGCTGCAGCACCAAATAAATCCTTAAATGCAAAATTTTATTCAATAAAACTAGGGGAAAAGTTTTGTATCCATGGTTTTCTTAAAAAATTAATGTAAAAAGTAATGTACATTATAGTGACAGGGATAATGTAACTATTAAAGCTATAGATGCACTTGAAAAAATAGTTAAAATGTAAGCTTTCTGAAAGTATGTGTAAAATGCTTTACTGTATTTAGTTATATTCTTTTCATTGTTTCCTTTTTTTTATTGGTTTCATCCTTTTATGTTTTTTTTTGTTCTCTCTCCACAAGATTTATATTACTGGAATGATCCTCTGATATGTAATATTATGTTTGTGAGGTATTTCAACTTAAGACTAGAAAATACTATGTTGCTAGTGATTTTAATGCCTGTGCAAATGATGCTGATTTAATCTAAACCCATGTATTTTTAGAAAAGAAAAATATACTTTAGAAAAAATAGACCTTTAAATACTTATATCTAGGATTCTTCCTGTGCTGAATTGTGTTATGACTCTAGCATTCCTACTGTCCTTTCCATGTGCTGACACCACTAACTTGCTGCCTCTAAAAGTGAGGGGAAATCTACCAAATCGTTTCACTGAAGATTTGAATGTAAAGCACATGATCTCAAAGGGATGGAGCTGTTTCATGAGAAAACGTCATATTTCCTCTGGAAGAAAATAAGATTAAATAAATACACTCTTATGTCTTTCTCTGCACAGTGTAAGGCTGTTTAAAGATAATCAAAATTAACATTTATCTGTAATCCTGTAATAAATCCACTGAAGACTCTTTTGTTGGAAGCGGGTTGTTTTGGGGTTTTTAACCAGTTCTTCTGATAACAACACTGAGGAATCATTCTTCCATAGGTTTTTGCCAGTGTTATGCTAGGTTTAACCTTGTTTAACCTTAATTTTGTCATATTTTGTTGCATCAGCCCATCTGCTACTGCCTGCCAGGTTGTATTGTTGTAGGTGTAAATCCGTCTTGATACTGTTAGGGAAATGCATCCCACCTAACTGAAGCCATGCAAAATGTTGACAGTCAGTTTAAACTCTCATCAAAGTCATTGCTGAAAGAGGGAATGAACTAAGCATCTATAATTCAGACTGCTTAGCAATATATATCTCTGATGGAAGACAGGAGTCAGCCTTTGGAATAACATTCTCTGCAGACTATCAAGGGAACCAAGATGATCATATCAGATAAAATTCCCAGCTTTTACAAGATTAAAATAAATGAGTTGGATTTGACTCTTTATTCTAAAGCAATCATAACTTTCTCTATTTCTTGTTCTACTTCTTCCTATGCCTCTTCATTCTTTATTGTTTTCATTCTTAAATCTCTCTCTGCCCTTTTGCTGCCTCAGTCTCTTCCCTTCATCAGCTTTCTCCATTTTCACCATTCAAACAGATGATTAACAGATGCTGTTTTTAATTTCCATCACAATGTCTTCCTTCTCTGACCCTTGAAAAGTTTTCCAACTGCCATAACAGCTGGTTTAGTTTTTCCTTGTAATTTCATAATATGAAATAATTTTGATAATCTATTTATTGCAATTCTATAGTTCTCCCTTCTAGAATGCATTTAGTTCTTCATTACACTGCCATTGAAACTGAAAAACATTATGTGTTTCTGGTCTCAGGAGCTCTTCAATTTGACTTAGTGACCTGAATTAAATTTTAATATACTGAAGATAAGTATGCAAAAACTATATGTTTGTTGAATGGCATTTTCTCTGCAACATTTTTAGAATAAATGGTGGCATAAATGTGTTGACAGCAGCTAATCTCAGAGGATGAAGTATGCATTCCTAATAAGCTCTTTACTCATGTTAAAGGAGAGTGAATGACAGGCAGTGCAAGATCCTATCTAAAAGGCAAAATACATTGCAGTGCATAATAATGCATATTACTGGTCTGCTCACTTATGAGCTGTGGATAAATGCAAGAAATCACTACAATAATATGCCTGAAGACAGAACACTTATTCTCGTTGTGTGGGTGAGTGTGCTGTAGAGATCAATTAGATCACGTAACTCCTGCAGACAATAAGAATAGCAGTAATAAAACCTAAAGCAAAGAACATATTGCACAGTGTGCTGACAAGGTCAAATTGATAGTAATGATGTGTGGTGGCAGCACTGCAATAAGGTTGTCTTATACTCTATGCATCTGATATTGGCTTTCATTACCAATATCCTGGAGTACAGTCAGAAGCTTACTAAAATGATAGTGATTACCCAAAGGGCAAAAGCAAATAAGACAGGCATTTCAGTTCTTGTGCACCCTGCAAACTGCATGAAGGCAGAAAAAATTGTACCTCATGCTAGATCTACAATGCTTGCTACAACTGGGATCAAATTGAGTTTATACTGCTTTTTGTCCATTTTTAAGCTGATGTGGTGCTTTAAAGCATGAATGTGTTTAGTGAATTTATTAAACTAGACTGTTGGAGACCATGATAGCTCTCTTCAGTACAAGTCTTCAAGTATGTAGACTAAATCAGCCTATAAGACATATCATACACAAGATGTACTGTTGTTCTGGAAGCCTCATGTTAGTGCTGGATAAGCACTTAAAAACTTAGGGTTGAGCCTGATTGGAATAAACCCCAAATACTTGGATGAGTGTCTAGTATTTTTGCACTACAGCATCTTCATAGCTTTTTAAAAAACAAAACAAAACCAAACCAAAACTAATCCTATGCTTCACATGAGATAAAATGCCTTCTACCACTCCCTGAAATTCTTCTTCCCTTAAAAAAGAAGTAATTTAAACACAAGGAGCTTTAGTCTCTACTGAATAAGACATGCTTATAGACAGAAAGGTTAAAGAAAAACAGTGTCCTTTGGAATGGTATATCAAACATTTCAAAGAAATGCATTTGGGAAGTCACTTCTGGTCTTATCTGATGTCCTCACAGCTCATGCAAAATGTGAGTGACTGAATAAAATTAAGCAGACAATTTTTCCATGAGGTATTTCTCTGGCTCATTTAATCATTTAGGTGAGTAGTAGGTTTTGTGATGTGGTCATGTGAAATATTCCTGTCCACAGGAAAAAAAAAAAAAAAAAAGTTTTAACCCTGAAAATATTGAGGTGATATTCAAAGCAGAGGTGAACACTCGGAAAATAGGAATTTGTGAGCCTGACTGCTCTTGACTTTCCTTCTCATTACAACATTAAAATTGCAGAAAAGAACAGCTGTTCTTTCCCTAATGCATGACATTTTCTGGGTGTTATGATTCTTCTCTCTTGTGGTGTTCTTCTTGTACAACTGTGTCATGTTGGGGGAAAAAACACCTGTGAGGAAAGGACTGGGTGTTAACTATGATTCAGACATGGTGGACGTAGGTGGGAACAGCAAGGGAACAGTGCCCCTGCCATTTGGATTGCCCAGATGAGTCAACGCAGGTGCTCAGTTATTGCAGAAGGAAACTCATAGGATGACAGGATGGCTTGGGTGGGAAGGCACCACCTTAAAGATCATCTAGTTCCAACTCCCCTTCCATTTAAAAAGGTTGCTGAAAGACCCATCCAATCTGGCCCTGAACACTTCCTGTGCCTGTTCCAGTGCCTCACCAGACTCACAGCAAAGAATTTCTTTTTTATATTTAATCTAGGTATTAACCTCTTTCAGTTTAAGGCCATGAGCTGTTCTACTGCCCCTATATGCCCTTGTAACTGCCTTCTTGCAGTCCAGTGTTTGTGTGTTTCAAACACTAATTTAATGTTTTAAATAAAGGCTCTGTGTAGCAGATGCATTATTCATACGAGCTAGAGGCTTCTGGAGAGCTGGTCTTTAAATCATGGCAGGCATATGCCACTCCACCCTTAACAGCCTCTTACTATGCAGCACTGCCATGGCTGCAGCTAATGGCATCTCCTACTATCATACTCCTAGTTCCTTGTTCCTGTCAATCTCCCATCCCTCACTTCCTTCAAAAAATCATTTTTTTTTAAATGTGTGGGCCCTCTCTTTTGTCATTACTCAACTGAAGAATTGTATTCTGTTTGGAGAACCATTACTGGGTATAAACACTCAGGAAAACGATCTCATTGTCATTATGTTACATGTTTTGCCTTAAACATGTTTGATATGCTTTCTGAATACTGATTAAGTTTTTAATTTATATTATACACTTTTTCCTCCCAAAAGCTGAATTTCTCACAGGACTTCTTGGGAAAAAAAAAAAAAATCTTAGAAAATGTCACAGTAACTTGTCCTTGTAAATATCTACCTAAGAAATTCACTTTCATGCTTGCAAATGTTCAGAAAAGTGATGTAAGTTAATAACCCTTCTGAAAAAGTATCCAAACTCATAAGCACCTAAAAACAGCCTTTAAAAAAAATCTTAGCATCAATTTTTCAATTTCTTTTTAACCTATGCATGATTTTTGCAAAAAATTACATGTACTGAACTTCAGTTACTCGACATAATATTTTCTTTTGCCCTAGGTTTTCTTTTTAAAAAAAGAAAGCCATTTTCTTAACATGTCCCTTTCATTATATTCTTCCTTTTCAGATTAACTATAAACAGCCAAAGTCATTACTTACATAGATACAACATTTTGGAAGTTTGCTAATATCAATTTATTGTTAACAGAAAATTATCCTAATGCCTTCTGTTACATACATTATGCATCTTTGATCAAACAAAGAGCCTAAAGATTTGTCGGTGCTTCAGTTATTCCATACACTCTCCTTGTAACAGCAGGTATGATTATGACTAATGCAGCCTGCATCAAGATGACTTCCCTAATATGCTGAGATTAAAAAGGAAAAACAAAAACACATTCATTATGTTGCAGCTCTGAGTTTTTGTGCTGAATAGGAAAACATATACGTGTAAGCAGTATTACAATGGTTGTAATTACTTCTGCAGTAAGAAATGTATTACAATTTACTGTTCTTTATCAGCTGGAAAACCCTTCCTTTTGAAACACTGCATGTGCTTTCATAAAGAACAGAACAAGAGAGACTCCTGCTGGTTCCACCTCTGCAGAAATTAACACGTTTTCACTAACTTTCTTTCTTTCCTATTCTTTATGTCCTTACACTACTCTTTTCTTCCACAGTACCAAAAAGCTCTGAAGCTGAGTGAATGCACTAGACACTCCTGCATCTCAGAAGAGTGGACTATTTGCTGGTTTTTTTTTAATTTCTGAGACAACTAAGTAGAAGGAAGAAGGGCAGAAATTAAGGATACACACATACAATCATATATAGTAGTTTATGTGGTTCTATTATGTCTATAGCAAATTATGAACATACTTATTCAGTATGTGCTGCTCTTAGTGAAGAAAATTATTATTTGGTGCAAACATTTATATATGTACATATCTCTTATAAAATATAAACCAATCAAGCCATCAAGATCACAATTCACAAAATTGTTTCATTAAGCTTAGTTCCATTCTCAAGCAAAATTTTAAATTATTGTGAGTATTTATCACATGCTGTTGTTTTCCTCACAGGATGTTTGCTTTGTTCTGTACACGGGAGGATAGCCACTGCTTACAGAAGGAAGAAATTGCTACTGAGTGATCCATTACCCTCCTCCTGCAATATGTCCCTACATACTACATAAACCTGTACTGGAAGGAAGTTTGAACTTTAATTTTTATCGTGCTCACCTCTGTATCTAAGGGTTAGATATTTAAAAGGATTTAAGTGCTGGGCAGACAAAGGTGTTTAATATCCAAGTCCCTGTTGATGTAGTGAGAACAACACACTGTGCAGAAATACTGGTGTGTCTTTGAGGACTACAGCTCAGGATTGTGAGTGTCCACTAGCATAGCCTGTACTGCACCACAGGGACTGCACAAAAATGCCTATGAATGCTTCAAACCCAGGCTGGTATTTTGAAATAAAGGAGAAAAGTCCCATTAAAAGATAGTAGCGGCACTCCACAAAATACTGAAAGTGACAGCCCACCTGAGCCACCTCACAAGGATAAATGACTTCAGCAAATCTTGCTTTTGGAGCTAGTAAGTGTTTCTGTCCATTGCTGTTTTTTGTACACTACAAGGAGATACTTTAATTCCAAAATTAACATTGTCAAACCTTTTGCCCTTCAACTCTAGAGGTACCAACCTTTACTGGTAATAATTTTTTGGGGTGCTTAAGTACCTGCATCAAATTATGGTATTTTGTCAACAATGAACAGGCCTTTCCCAGTCTCAGCAACCACTGGAATTTAGTATTAAGGGTTTTCCCTCTTATGTCAGCTAGGGTTAAAAATGGATTTTCTCCAAGATGGTTAACCTTACAGAAAATATAAATGGAAAAACAGTAACATTTTCTTTTATTGAATAAATTAGCAGCTATAAACTCTTCTGGGAAATGGAACATTCTTATTAGAAATCCTTCTCTTTAAGGGGACTTGAATGCACCTATTAAGAGCCCTCCTGGCTCTCACTAATTTCAGATTACAGTTGCCAAGATGAGACATTTTGAAAATAAATTTTATGTACTTTATCTTGAAAAATGTTCATGTACTCCATTAAAGCAAAGGGAGAATTGTCAGTAATTTCTCCAGTATCAGAGCACATATTTAGAAAAGATTTTACGATTGAATCCTTTTTTCAGAATTTTTCAAAAACTTTTATGAGTCTGAGTCATCCTCTCTCCCTCCCTGTCTCTCTCACTTCCCTCCCTCCTCCCCCCCTTTTATCTTTGATGTCTTTCCTACCTTCTTCTAGGAATAATAAAGTACTTCACTAACACATGAAGTGCAAGAAGGCAGCAGTGAAAAAGGAAAGGTGATACAAAACCATGCAATTAGAGTTGTCACTGAAGTGCAATGTAAATGGCATGGTGTAATAGGCACAGTGCAAGACACACTGCTGTCAGGTGAGGAAAGGCCCAGGCAGTCCTGAGGTCACAGGCTTTAGCTCAGCATGATGTATTCTAGCTGGGAGATGGGAAAGCACCCCCAGGCTCCTCTGCTGGGGACTTAGAGTACATGTCTCCTGTCAGAATGTACCTGCCACATCAGGCCCTTCCTGGAGAGGAAGCTGCAAGCCTAGAGAGTACCTCAAGGCACGTGGTCCAGCTCCCCAGAGGGAGAGCAGCCCACAGCACTGCACCACACACAGCCCAGCTGAGGCTAACCTGCTCAGTTCTGCCATCATGGAGGGTACCAAAGCAGGGGAGGATAAATAGGAAGAGCCTACCACTATAGACATAGTCTGCATGAGGGAAAGAAGCTTTGTCTCTCCTGCATCTCATTCATCTGAAGTGACAGGAGGCCAATTTTGTTTCAAGATGCTGTTGCTGATTTTGTTTAATCTGTATCCGTGAGCCAGATACAGAATATAGTTTTGCTTTGTGGGTACAACTACATGACAACTTGCTACAATATATGCTTTCTGGATAACTATTGGTTGTTCTATTATTCATTATCATCAACTTTTTTAGCAATCAGTTAAAGTGCTAACTCACACTGCATCTGTGGGCTAGACTAATTTTCAGCTACTCAATACCAGTAAATTATTTAAAGCACCACAGAGAATTTGTGTTTTCTTACTGCTTGACAATTTACAATACACGAGCCAAGGACTGAGTAAGGCTGGGAACTTCCACAGCAAAAGTGGATGATTGCAAGCATTTTCCTCTGAAGTTTGAAACAGCAGGGTATGAGGGTACTTGCAGTAGACAGCTGTCACCTGCTCAAGTACATTTATGTTGCCTCGCTCTGGTGACACTGGAGGTGTAAATAGATTCAGAGAACTCATGTTTTTATTTAGGTTTTTGATAGTGTGCTATTTAAAGCTTCCTCTTAGCCTTCAAAGCAGAGAATTTAAATTATTTTACTGCCTAAAGACTTAGGTGGGACATTGATGTGTTAAGTTGAAAACACAGATCCAGGCTGGAAGAGGGATTCTTGTTGCTCTAAGAAGTCAGGGGCAGGGACAGGACAGAAACTCTCCTTGGTTCCTTTCACATCATTAAAATAGGACATGAAGAGAGATTCCAGGTATAGTTATTTCACTCTTCATTTCATAGAGGCAGTTTAATCTCTTCTATACTACGATGGAAAGGTTTTAGCGATATCAATATTGCCATAGCTACTTCAGAATTTGAAGCAGTAAAGTGATACTCTATGAGGATGTAGCAAGGAGCATGCTCGACTTTTCTGAGCCAGGTGTTAATTCAGAGATAAGCAGAATTTACCTGTAAGTAAAAAATCATTAATCTTAAAGTTTCAAAATCTCTGCTTACCCTTACTCAACCCATGAAGTTTTCAGCAGCTGGGAAATGTAAACAGGTTCATTAGAAAAAAAAAATAAAAATCATGAAACTAAGCTGATTTGCAAAGTTTATTAATATTGCATTTTTAAATTTATCACCACATTTGCAAACAGATGGTCTTGTAATGCTTTTTTACTTTTGCATGGTTGAGATAACAGCAAGAACTATTACCAGTTGCTATAGCTGTCTAAATGTAAATATAAAGCAGAGCTAGATCTCATATAAATGGGAACTATTGTTTGTGACCCAGAAACTTTTAAAAACATACCCAAAAACATAAATATTTTTCTATTTCTGTTGTTAGGCCTGATCTTGAAGTTGTTAATCAGAGCAAATAGATCCTTTTCTCTGCTCAGACTGGATGTAGCCAATATCTAGTATGATGCTGCGTGTGTTTATTAATCTTTGTCTTCCTCTGCATTATCACTTTGGACTCATTAAAACTAGCAATCTGGCTGTTATTTAGATAATAAATGTTATTGCCAAAGAAAATGCAATGATGTATTTATTTCTTTGTTTGACCCAGAGGGATTGGCACAAGTTTTCAAATTAATGGTTTTAAAATAAGTTATAGCATCCCTTAGGTCACCATAAACTTAACACTCCTTTGTTTATGTTGAGAATATACCAACTGCAGATTTTTTTGCTGATGATCATCATGTTGTATAATAAATATATGGAAGTGCTGGTGGTGCACCCTTTCTTTTCAGCATATTTGCATGCAGAGGACATTCCCTAAACATACTCATTAAACTTCTTGAAGAAAGAAAAAAAATGCAAGTTGATTCAAGATTAAATTATTTTATAATAATTTTGATTTACAATTTCTGAAAAAAAAAAACCAGTTCAAACCAATGGCTTTAATGCAGATGAATAATACATAATTATTAAAAGAATTAGATTGTCCTGCCTCCGATAATAACATATTTGTCCAAAAATAGTACGACTGACACTGTTAGGGCAACTTGCAGGGAACACAACTATTAAGCTGACTCAGTGATATAATCTAATCCAAATGTATTTTGCTTCAGCGATGGTCTTCAAATATTTTCATCCTGAAACAAATATTCAAACTACATAAAGAATTTATTTTTAATCATTACTTCTCATTCTGATCACCAAATGCTGCATATTTCAGTCATGCATGGAAATCTTAGTGATATTGATGTGTTTTATATTTAGGAGGGTCTGTATTACCTTCTGCATCTGCATACCCGCAACAAATCTTCTCAAATAAACCTGTAGTGATGTCTTATTATCTATCTGTCTGTCTGTCTGTCTGTCTATCTATCTATCTATCTATCTATCTATCTATCTATCTCTCTACCTATCTATTATTATTATTATTATTATTATCTGTTACATTGAAAACACAGCATTAGGGATTCTGGAGGCAGTAAGAGAAGACGAAATTCGTGAACTTTGATAAAACTTAGACTTCACAAAAGCAGAAATAGGCTTGAATTTGGTTTTTGAAGAGTCATCACAAACTAAATGCTAGGTTTCAGTATGTGAGCGTAAGAGCACGAAAATAATAGTAAAAAAAATAATAGTTATGGTTTCAGAGTGATTGTTTCTAATCTTAAACTTAAATTTTGTTTGAAAGAAAAAAAAAACAACCAGAGACAAAACCTTTTTGTATGAGGAAAAAAAAGAAAAAAAGAAAAAACCCCAAAAACCTAAAACCCAGATTTTCTTTTCATTATTTGCATTATTTGTTCAGTGTAATTTATAAAACTAGGAGATTAAAAAAAAAAAGGAAACAAAATAGAAAGAAGAAGCTTTTTTTTTTTTGCTGCTCATTACACTGTATTTGTGTGCAGTGTTTAAAAAGGCTGCTTGCATCCTGTTTCAGGCAAAGAGCTGTTTGATAAATGAGTTTAATACACTGATGTTTACCTCAGAGAAGATTCTGTCTATATTTCAGAGAGTTTTTTGTGCATAAGCTCTGTTTACCACATTTTCTAATATATAATGTGGTCAGCATTTGTACTGTGGAAAAAAACTAAAACATTTCCCATTAGTCTTTACAAAGAATCATTTATTAATTACAGAAACAAAATGTAACTAAAATAAATGCAGCTAAAGACTTTATGCATTGAGAAATACCATTAAACTTTTATTTATAGGTTGTTTCAGGAAGCTGATGTACATATATATGCAGATGACAGCACATCCTGGCCACCAACATATTAATCCAGTTTTCATTTCACAGGAAACCTGAGTAAGTGGGGGTTGGTTTGTTTTATGAGGGTTTAGTTTAGTTTGTGGTGGTTTAATTTTGTGGGTTTTTTTTAAATAATATAAGGCTAAATTCCTTCAAAGAAAGAACTTTTACTACAGAGAAGCTACTGTTTTTCTGATGTGCATGCTATAATTTCAAGGGATGGTCTAATGACATTGACATCTGAGAGTGATTGAATGAATGAGCAGACTTGGAATTTGTCCAAATCATGTTTCTCCAGAATTACCTATCACATCCAATACAAGTGCCATCCATTATACTCTACTTCATTGCATCTTCACACCAGAGTTTGCAACAGAAATATGTTCCACAGAATCTGCATTTTGTGCTTTTCCTTTACTAAAGACATTACTGTTTTATACAGTTTCTGATCATATATACTGAGTGTAAAGTCCATCACAACTTACTCCATGTTTTTCAGTTTTTCTACAGTGGTTTAGTCACAGCTATGAAAAAATAATAATAATAAAAAAAAGCCATATTGCCAGTAATTCTTATGTAAAAATTAAGAAGCATATTGCTACAAAATCAGAATATTAACATGCATGCCTTTATGCAAGCTAATATGTGACAGATGTTGTTTTTGAAATTAATGTTAAGTGGACTATAGAATTAGAGATTATAAAAGGAACTGGACATTGTATATATTTATATACTTAAAACATTATAAAACATTAATAAATACATTTGTAAAACATAGATGACTTAGTGAACTTATTTTTAGGAGCTCTGTGATTTAATATTGTAACAGTTGTTGGTTTTCATGCATTTCAATCAATAATATATTCAATATTTTTTCAAGAATGAATATTTTTCTTTAATTGTCTATATGTTAAAAAATTCATTGATCTAAGACTGACCATGATTTAAATAGTAATGGTGTTTTCTACAATATTGAAATTATCTAATTTTAATATTTAATATTAGATATTAAAATATCTAATATTGAAAAGTATAACTTTATTGATGCCTTTATTGAAAGATTTATTAAATCATGGTGTGTGATTCTTGGGCTGTCCTGTGGAAGGCCAGGAGCTGGACTTGATTATCCTGATGGCTCCCTTACAACTCCACGTACTCTGACTCCATGTAGCTGTGAGAAAGGCAAGGCACAGTGCGCTCACACAGTGACTGACTCAGTCCCCACGAGCAAACAGAGGGTCACAATTGATGCCATGGCTCTGCTGGACTGCCAGGGATGCTGAGCTGGGTCTTCTGGCAGCAACAATCAGTGACACAAATTATGCTTGAAGGTGAGTAAGAGCCACACCAGCCCTTTGCTCCATTGATGGCGCTGTGGTTTGATACAGCCAGGACCTTTATGGATAATATGAAAGGCATCCTGCCTACACTGCTGACATTTGCCAAAGGACAGGGGGCAGGGTGCCAAGGATGAGTACAAGCTCATTCTTGGAGGAGAATACATTGAGAGCAGCCCTGAGGAAAAGGACTTGGAAGTCTTGGTGTGTGAAAAACTTGACGTCAGGCTTCAATGTGAACTTGGAGCCCAGAAAGACAATCATCTAGGTGGCACCAGAGGAAGTGTGATCCACAGGTCAAGGGCAGTGGTTCTCCACATCTACACCCCTCCTGTGAGATATCGCCTGCTATCCTTCTGGTGCCTAAAGAGATTCTGCGAGAGAGCTGGACTAGAACTTTTCACAAGATCGTGTAGTGATAGGATGGGGGTGGCGAGGCACTGGAACAGGTTGCCCAGAGAAGTTGTGGATGTCCCATCCCTGCAAGTGTTCAAGGTCAGGCTGAATGGGGCTTTGAGCATCCTGGTCTAGTGGAAGGTGTTCCTTTCAGTGGCAGGAAGGCTGGAACTAGATGTTTTTTTAAGTCCTTTCTAAACCTCTTTAATTCTGTGATTAATTAAATAACCTAGCACATGTTAGAATCTTTGATCTTAATTTTATAGAAATGTTTAACAGCAACAAATTTCTAGTTGATCATGTAAGACAAACTTCAATAGAGAAAAAATAGTCAGGTATCAATCTTAAAAAAATAACCTAATTTTCTGGTAACTGAAAATTACTATGTTCAATTCAGAAACTATGAATCCACAGTACTGTAGGAAATTATTCACATTAAAAGTTTTCCTGTTTAGAATTAGGATTGCAAGGAATTTGTTCTCCTGTGCTACATTTAATAGCTTGATCCTGAATATGCAGAATTCAGTAGTTCCACTAAATGTAAAGAAAATGCAAATATAAGTTACTTGCCTGAATATATGATCTCTGAATTGGCTCTGAACATCTCAATTTTCAGAATAGAGTGTGTTCGTTTATGTATTTGACATGTTCTAATAGGGGACATGCTACTAAATCTCTGTGAATCCCATTGAAAATTGAGATGTGGAAGATAAGGTATTTAAAGCTTTTATTCATAATACTGCCATAGTTATTATGATGAGTAAATGGCTTAAGCTATTGGACCTTTTCTATGAATAGATGTAATGCTACTTTGTCCCTTAGTTGACATGAGCCTTCAATGTGCATTTAGAGCCAAGAAAGACAATCATCTCTTAGGTGAAAGAGGTGAAGAAAAATTACTTGTTTGTTTGAGGTTTTTTAAAGAATAAGTTATTATGTTTACCAGGAATATGTTTTCCCATAGTGCAAATGATTCTGTACTGAAAATCCTTCTTTTATGTATTTCTTGATTCATACAGGGCACAAAATTTGGCATATTTTGAGATAGTTCACCATCTTTCGTTATAAATCTATAAACTTTGAAGACAAATACTATGATAATGGCAAATCAATAGTCTTCTAAAGATAAGACAAAGAATTCCTGTGGATTTCTTCACTAGTCTATGACTCCTGTGAATAAATAATTAGTATTAGTATTTAGTACTATTAGTAATTAATACTAATATTACTAATTACTACTACCTAGCAATACTAATATTATTAGTAATTAGTATTGAGGAACTGGAAGAGGGAGGGTTATATATATTTTTTTTATATTTGGAATTAAGCTCTTCCAGGGTTGCCTACCAAATTGCTCAGTTCAACTCATAAAATATTCTGCTGGACATTTTATCATATTGCTTTAAATTCCTTTTTCTGGTATCAAATTAATTTATTCTGAAACCTCTCAATAATAATGATTCTATAGCAGCTGATGTAATTTTCTGCCATAAATACTACCTAGTTTTAAACACTCTTGGTGACTCATATGTGTTGGATATTGGGCCACAAGCCTCAACAGAAATGAGGTTACTACTGTTTATTCATGCAGGTCTGGTAAAGAAAATTACAACTTTCCTCAAAAGCATGGAATATATAAATGCTGTAGTTACATTTTCAGATATATTGTCTGCATTTCAACTTTTATTCCTTATTCATTTTTATTACTTCCGTTTGGTTAATGCAGCCCTATCAATGTTGCTTCAGAAATCCCATCTGTGGTTTACATTGTCTCAAGATTACATTTATTTCTCTTTCATTTATGTGTCTTTATTCCTTCCTTCAAATATTTATTTACTCACTATTTATTCCCTTGAAGTATCCTACATATTTTCATCTTTCTGTTGAATGACTTAGGTCAAATTAAACTTACTCTAAAAATATTAATTTTCCTCCAACAGCAATACATTGGCCTTGGGTGAGTCACCCAAGTACAGGTTCCAACTGTAGTTCTATTATTTATTTAAAATTAACTTCACCCCACTTGTCTTTCCAAATCAAAAACAAAAATTCCATGGTAGTAAATCTTGATGAAGATGCACAGGAAGATAGTGCTTCTTCATACCCTTTTCCCTTGCATTTTTAAGGATTCAGCTCTGTAGCTGAATTCATCTCTTGACACTACTGTTTTAGTCAATAGGTAGACTACAAGAATTCTTCTGGGAATATTAGAAAATACTGCTAAAACACAGATTTTTAACTCAATAACATGAATATTCAATACAGAACTGCAATCCCAAGAGTTTACTTACTAGTTTAGTCAGTGATTTTCAGGACTTGCATAATCAAAAAAATTAATATAACTCTGAGTTATTTATTTTCCCTGGACGAAAAAAGTGGAGTAGACCAGTCATCAAAGGAAACAAGGGTAATCCAAGAGTTCCTGACTATGTTATACTAATTTATTGAGACAAAACCTGTCCTCATCACAAATTAAATATGTATTATATAAACACTTATTTGTGAGAGCATACAAGGGAACATTATAGTTATGATTTTCTGGTATTTGCTCCTGAATTTCATAACAACAAATTGAAATAAATAAATAAATAAATAGATAAATAGATAAATAAATAAATAAATAAAATTTTAAATGGGAGAAATAGGATCTAAATCTCTTCAAAACACTCACCACAGGAAGTAGTTGGCTAGCTAGATTACCAGGAGGTTTTTATATTTGCAAAACCAAAGAGATAGAAAATTTGGTTTTTTTCTAGAAAAGCAGCTGCAAAGGAGAAAATTTATCTTGGAAAAGAATTTATTTTGGACAAAGTTCTCAAGATCAGGGCCACAATATATTGAACATTTTTATATTTTCAGAAGACTGTGGGATCTTAAAAATCATGTACTTAGAGTGTCATTGGAGACAACATATAATGATTCAGCTGGATTTATTTGAATGTGTTTATGCAGTTCTGTTTTCAGATTAAAAATGTGCATTTATCTCTAAGAGATATTTCTTTTGCTGCTCTTTAGTACTAATAAATTAATTATTACTTTATTGTGATTATATACATACACCTATATAATACATACATGATTATATGTACATATAAATGTACATATATAATACATACATGATTATTACCTTATCATGTATATATTCAAATATGTAAGTAAACTAGCCACATAAAGACATGAATCATTTGTCACAAAAATGATCCTAGAAAAGATAAAATGTTAAAAAGAAGCTTAGAGAAATAGGTATGTGAGGAGACAAATGAAAAAAAAAAAAAAATCCTTTGTAACCTACTCTGTTTAGTTCTGAAACACTGTAGAA